GCAGGGCGGGCAGAGGGCGGGCCGATGCTGGTCGTTCGCTCACGCTTGCGAAAACGCGTATGAAGAGCAGAGAAGTAGTAGTTCCGGCGGTGGTGGGAGGGGGTGAGGGAGGGGGTCGGCGGGGGCCGCGCTCTGGGGTGGCAGGGCGGCGCGAGCGCGGTGGTGGAGGTCCCCCCCATGACGGCGGCCGTACTTCGGCTTCCGGTCGGTATATAACCGGGGCCCAGCGTCCGGACCGCACCAGTTCGCCTTTTGCCAGCCCCGGCAGCATCGTCCCGTGTGGATATACCCAATCATGAGGAGGTTTGTGGTACGTGTCGCTATCGTGGATATACTACTACTACACAAGTGCAAGCAAGCAGTGCAACGGAGTGCAGTGTGCGTGTGCAAGTGAAAGTGAGAGTGGATATGGTGTGCAATCAAGCCAAAGTGGATTATATCGGGACGTTAGCGTGCGATAGTGCTCGACGTCCGGTCCTGTCCTGTCACCGGTGGCCGGTCTCCCACAACGCAGATCATGCGTTCTAACGTGCTACTGTTGACAACGTGAATGTGCTCTACTACTCGTATTTTCGGGTTTTGTCTATTAAGAAGACAATTAAATTATTAAAATATGAACTACAATCATGCTGATTGATGAAAAAGAAAATTTCCTAGATGTTTGTCATGTGCATTCTCAGTGAGGTATCTTTAAAACTGTGTTACTATTGACATGCGTAGATTTTTTAAAAGGTTGGATCTCTTTTTGAGGATTGAAGATTTTTATTTCTGGATAAAACATGCATTAATCGGAGTAGTTTCTTTCTTGTTTCGTATTTGGATTTTATATTTGCATTATATAAATGTCTTGTAGACCATTTCCAAAAAGTTTGTTTGATTGTTTTCCCGATTGGAGTTATGCTTTGTAGTATAATATGACTCGTCTCTCGGTTGCAGGTGTGCTGTCTACTACTGGCGGTAGCGGGTTCTGCCCTCGCCGACGACCAGCCGCCCGCGGAGGCCATCGTGGTCCCGGAGCCGGACAGCAAGCAGCAGGACAAGCGCAGCGCCCCGCCCGCCGTGGTCGAGACCCACGCCGAGCAGGTCGTCGAGCACGTTGAACAGCACGTCGCCGCACCTACCTACGAAGCCCACGCCGCCCATGGCTACGCCGCCCCCGCCTACTCCGCCCCCGGCTACGCCGCCCACGGCTACGCCTCCCCGGCGTACGCTGCTCACGGCTATGCCGCGCATGCTGTCGCTGCACCTGCTTATGCTGCCCACGGTTATGCCGCCCATGGTATCGCCGCCCCTGCCGCCTATGCCACGCACGGCATCGGCGCGCACGGCATTGCCGCGCACGGTATCGCCGCGTACGGCGGAGGGTACGGCCACGGGTACGGCCACGGGTACGGGCAGCTCGCCTACGGCGCGCCCGTCGCCGCCTACCACGGCCACAGCCAAAACACCGTGAGCACCGTGGACCAGCACGTCGCCATCCCTGTGCCCCAGGCCGTGCCCTTCACCGTGGACCGTCACATCCCCGTGCCCGTGCCGCACGCCGTGCCCGTCGACCGCCCCCGCCCCGTGCCCGTGGCCGTACCTCAGCCCTACGCTGTGCCCGTCCCCCGCCCCGTGCCCGTTGACGTGCCCCGCGCCGTCCCCGTGCCCGTCGCGCACCCTGTGCCCGTGAGGATCCCCCACCCCGTGCCCTACAAGGTGCCCCACCCCGTGCCCGTTCACATCAACCAGGCCGTCCCCGTGCCCGTCCCCCAGGCAGTGCCCGTCCACGTTCACCAGCACACCGTTGCTACTCCCATCCTTGACCACGGTCACGGATACAACTTCGGTCACCTTCGCCAGGCTGGTTTCGGCCTCGGCCACGGCCACGGCCTCGCTCTTGGCCACGGCCTCTCCCTCGGCCACGGTATTGGTGATCTTGGCAAGTACGCATCCCACGCCCCCGAGCTCTCCGACATCGCCATCGCCAAGTACGCCAGCTACAAGGGACTCGAGTCCGACGACCTGCACATTCCTCACAAGTACTACAAGGATGACAGCTACAGCAAGTACTCCAGCTACAAGGGATCCGACGACCACGCCAGCTTCTCCAAGTACGCTAGCCACGGCAAGGGCTACAGCAGCCACAGCAGCGGTCCATCCTACAGCAGCG